ACATAACTAGTGGACTTATATAAAAACATGAATTAAGAGATCTAATATTTAATTATAAGACAATTCAAATTACAGTGAAAACTCCTGAATACATAATCATCTTTAGCATAAAACCTAGAAGCATTAAACCTGTCTACATTGAACCCATTAAACGTTTAATTGTCACCTACATATAAATAAGTTGTTTATTATGGCGTGGTAGTAAATTAGTATTCACAGAAAATATTCCCAAGTCTCAATGCAAATGTTAATTGCCCTTCATGACAAGAATAGTACTCCACATACGTGACGCCCTCAGCCTGGAAGCCTCAGAGCACTCTGCGGCTGTACAAGAACGAATGCCTCTCACATCTGACTGGTGACTAATGCTGCTATGTCCAGCCTTCTCTCTCACTTGTGACTTAGCTTTTCCCAGCTTTCTGCATTACCCCGCTGTGTTGCGGAAGGAACAACTGTTTCCACAAGGACATCATTGTCCAATTTTAAAAGAGCACGGTTCCCTTCCAAAACATGTACCAGAACTGATTATCTGTTGTTGGCTTGGTTCTTCAAGAGCCCAGTTGGTATATGCATTTCGTTTTGTTTTATTTTTATTTTTTACTCTCTTACAACATTGCCATTGCACGGTCAGGGAAACGGGAAGGACACCAGCATGAAATTTTAGGTCTCCAAGTCTATATTATGCTCTCCTTAACGTTCACCAAAGAAACATGAAGGAAATTATACAATAGACTGTCAGAAAAATTACACAGTCACCTGATAGGGAGCCCTCTTTGGAGTACTTCACTTTAAACATTGGGTGCAAAAGGCACTGTGCCAGGTAGAAGAATGGGGAACACAAATGAGAGGGAGGTGTATTCTGCTCTGGGAAAGTCACAGTCTGTCTCTGAAGGAGAGTACATGCAGTGCCATTAAGGTTCAGGAAGAAAAAACATTGGAATTTCTCCTCAGGTTTTATAATTCGTCCTTTCGAATTTATTTTCTGTGTCTTTTTTATAACATGCATATCTATTAATATACAGTAATACATATATGTAGGTTATCAACAATAGAAGTGTTTTAACTGGTAAAGATGCACAATGAAAAAAGTTTGGAAACCATTGAGCATGAATGTAGGGAAATACGTCGACCCAAAGACCTTTCAGTGTATGAGAAATGCATTATCATCTGCTAATAAGCCACTCGCAAGAAAGTTCCAACAACGTATTATTTTGCGTTAGCTAATATTTTTCCTTGAACTTTTCTTTATCACCACCTGGAAGTCACATGCCACCTGAGACCGCCGGACAGTGAGCTGTTGTGATACCACATTCCTAGAGTCACCATATTTCATAGTGTAGTTAGAGTATAAATGAGACAATAGGGGGTCCTCTTTCAACCCTACCAAGTAGGACACAGCCAGAAATGACCCCCCCCAAACACAGAATACAAGTTTAATCCATCAGTGACTTTATTGTGATCCTCAAATCTATCAATGAAATTTTATATCGGAAAGAGGAAATTTATATGTTCACTTTGCTTTTAATAAAAGTGGAAGAGTATGTCATCTGACACAGGATCAATTTGCATATTGTAAAATAACCACAAATAAAATTTGGGAGGGAATTTATTCCTGCCGTAGACCCAGAATTCCTGAGTAAATTGGATACAAATTAAAATTCCATTGTAGCAGCTGATACACTTCCTCATTAGGAATTGCAGAAGGTTCCTATGCGCATCCTGTGGTTTGCATGAGGTCTTCTGCACTCTGCCAACTTTCAGAAAACATTCTGTCAAATTGCAAAAGAGCTGGTTTTCCGCCAGTGCTCCAAATGGCCGAACTGGTACACTGAAGGCAAGTCCATTGGGAAGCCGAAGTCAACAACTTCTTGCCTCATCTTCAAAAGCAAGCCTCTTCTAGAATAAGAAAAGCCAAAGTTGAAAAAAGAGAAACCAGAAGAGAAGTGAGGAGATGAAGAAGAGGGCAAAACGAGAAGAAAATAAAGGTGCTTTCATATTTTCAGCTGCAACAGTAGCTCCAATTGACTTAATTGCTATTCATCTGAGAAAAAAAAAAATCAAGGAAACCAATTGAAAATTATAAAAGAAAATAAAGGTCTGTTTTTGTCTTGAATGTTGAGTTCTGTGTTGTTTTGACTGTTGAGCACAGTGAATCAGATTTATAATGTGACTTTGCTCCTCACCCCCGTCCTTTAACAATAAAAGGACTCTTTGTCTGGTCTTAAAATGTTAAGTAATTGGTGGCATTTTGTGGTAGCCTGGCATCTCAATCCCTCATCCTTTCTCATCCCACTGCTCTGTCTTGTGGTGTTGCATATGTGTATGACGTGTATGGACTGGGGGGAGGGGAGCCTTACTTATCTCTAATAGGAGCCGCACTATTCCCTTAATATACTTGGAAATGTTTCTGTGTTCCGTCTCATTGTGATTCCTTGTTCAAATGTGCTGCCCAAAGATAAATCTATATTCAATTCTTCTTAACAGCTGTCAAACCAGATTCTTCGCAAAATAATGTTGTCCTTTGCTTAAATGCTTTTTCCCCCTTAACAGCAAGAAGGGGGAAAAAACTTTCCATTTTTATTTATTTAATAGCTGTGTTTGTCACTTTTTAATATGAAATCTTTATTTACCCTTCTTAAAGTAAAACCACATTGAAATTTTACCAAAAAAAAAATCAGTTCCCTAGCCCAGTATTCCACAAACTTTAAGAACTGGGGAGAAAGAATACTGGGTAAGAATGTTTTTAAAGAAAATATATATGTGCTATAGTATTAGCTACTATGGAAGGTTATTGTATAATAAAAATTTACTCTATAAAATGTAAAAATACTTCTTCCTCCCTTAAATCCTGAAACTCTCATATGAATCCCTTTTTTTCTTCATATTCTTTCAAAAACTGAAAAACTAATAATACAGTAGGCCACCTAATACATTGACTACTGTAATTCACATAAGTCAGGCCTTCCATCCCCCCTCACCCCAGCTGTACGAAATTACATCTGGCTTTAGATGCAGTCTTGCCCTGAGGCAAAAAGAATGAAGACTACTAACTAATTCCTTGGGGTCCTTTCCTGGCCTGTGATTTTATGAAATGGAATTATGCTGTTCAAATATATCCTTGTTTTTACAACTCCCATTTAGTTACTCTGAATGACCTTATGATTTTGTGCCTTCCTGGCTCCAAACCATTCTCAGTCATAATTCCCCATATTACTTTCATCTTGTTCTTAACCCACAAAGCAATTCCCTCCTTTTCGCAGTCCTCCACTCACCCATCCCTCAAAATCCTCTAGGTGTTGCAGACATTCAAGGAGGAGCCAACAGAGAATTAAAAAGCTGTTGTTTAAAGGGGCTTTTGTATTTTCATAGTTTTAATTTAGGTACATGATTAGGAAGTTAAAAATTCGTTATAGAGGAATTAATGATAGCATGTGCTGATGATAACAAGGAACTTTCTAATGGAAAGACTCAATAACCATACCTACCATTAGTTGCTAACCTCAGCAGTAGCGCCAAAATTTGAGTATGAAACTGAAATGAAGCTATTTTTTAACCCTAAAGGTGATCCTTTCAAGTTAAGGTACTGTGTTTATGGACTTTTGGGGCACTTTAGGTACACTCTCAAACATTTTTTTAGAATGCTCCTTTTTAAGGAATCCTCACAAATTCATCAACACCTACTGTTAAATACACAGTTGAAATGAACACTGGCAAAATTGGCAGTGTAGAATTCTTGTTAAAATCATGGATTCTGGAGCCAGACTACCCAGTTGCAATTCTGGCTCCACCATTTACACTTCCTAAGTATGTCCTTGAGCAAGGTGCTTCCCTGCTGTAAAATGAAAACCAAATACATCTACTCTCAGTATTGTGAAAATTAAAAGAGATCATGAATGTTAATCATTTACCCTTCTGCCCGGCACATACAAGTGTTAACTAGTATTGTTATCAATTAGCAATTAGAGAGTCCATTTTTTTTAACTAGGTCAGCAAACCTAAAATATTCATATGGACCATGGTAGAATGAACAACATTCCATATTTACTCCTTGAGCCAATATAATTAGTATTCCTCAAATAGGATTCTTTGGCTCTCTATTAAAGGAAATGTGATATAGCCCTAATCCTGTCTACCACTCAAAGCAAAATCCGAGTTTATCTTTATCATTGTTGAGAAAGATATGACATCAATATTCAGGCAATTAAAGAAGAAGATGGGAGTTTGATTTATTCAGATAGATCTAAGTTCCTTTCCTGAACCAGTCTCTAATTTTTTTTCTCAAAAATATTTAATTGCAGTATTTTCCTCCCAGATATTACAAATGCTACGTAGCTTCTCTTAGTATGTGCCAGATTTTTCCTTACATTTGCACATAAACATATTCTCATATTTCATTCTAATTAAAGCAATATTTTTAATGGTAATATATGATAATTTACTGTATTTACAATGTGGCAGGCATTACTATGGCAGTCACATGAAACCTAATGATCTTCTATGGTACACTATTGGAAGATTTTTATAATCAAATATACTCCAGTGAATGCCATTCCATCTTATGCAGTCTGGAAAAATGTAAAAACCAGCTCATTCAGTATTGCTAAACCAGGAGAGCTCTATTAATCAGCACTTCTGTGCTTCTCAGTATAATGATAAGGGATATTCACTAATGTGTTAAAATATTAAATTATGTGCAGGATTGTTTCTGTGTTGTGTACCTTTTGTACTCTATCTTTGAACTTAATGGACTCAAGATATGTATGGTGATTTGCTATTAAGAGATATTTTGTTAATCAAACATCTTATTATTTGACCATTTTAAAAATTTTACCCACTATAACTAGCAGCTGTGGGTTTTTTTTTTAATGTAATAGAGTGTTTTCCCAATCATTCATTATTCTGTTTCTCAAATGGTTTGGATTTTTTTTAGTAGATTTTTGGAGTATCCGATAAGTGTTCATTACACCAGATTCATTTCTCTCTTTTTTTGCACATTGCAGGTGAAAGTAGGGAAGAAAAGTTAGGAGATTCATTGCAAGATTTATACAGGGCATTGGAGCAAGCCAGTCTGTCACCACTGGGAGAACATCGCATTTCAACCAAGATGGAATACAAGCTATCATTTATAAAGAGATGTAATGACCCTGTGATGAATGAAAAACTACACAGGCTGAGAATTCTCAAAAGCACTTTAAAGGTAAGATATGAAATGGAAAGAGAAATTCCTTTCAAGATATTCATTCTTGAAGTCAGTGGATTACCAGATACTCTAAATGAAGAAATACTAAATGGGGAGGTGGAGTGGACAGCAAGTAAACAGGAAGAACCTGAAACTGAGCTGTTCCTATAGGGTAGTAAGTGCATAAAGAGGAAGTAACCTTAACTTTTCATTATCATATCAAAGCATTGGCTAAATGTTATTTGACTTAATTCTCAGAGAAAACAGGATGTAATTAAATTTTTTTCAAAAATGTGAGGCTGGTGTTATTCCTCAGTCTTTCATTTTCCTAAGATAAATTTGCCATGTAGTTATTAATATAGTTATTAAAAGAACACAGCATGCATGCAGAATGCAATAGTGGGCACTAAAAGGCTTTGAGATATTTGGTGCCTATCTCCTGCAGCACATTTGGAGTGAAGCCACAGTGATTCATGTTCCATATAGAAATTTTATAATTGTTCTGTTTACGCTATCAGTTCCCAGCTCACATGTTACTTTCTTATTCTGCATTTCCGTAAGTGCTTACATTATCTCCAGTCTCTTTATTATACCACCCCCATAGTGGGGAGGAGGTAGTGGAGAGAGAGGAGCAGAGAGGCAGGAAATTGAAGGAGGCAGAAATGAGAGCCCCCTCACTGTGAGTGTATATGAGGGGACAGGGCCTGCTGTACAAAAACTCTCCATAAGCAGGCCTTGCACCCTTGAAAAATCAAAAACAGAAAAGAACTACCATACAGAGTATGTAGTACAGTAATCTCAGGAAACAAAAGGTCAGAGGGCTCCTTTGGGAAATATTTCAGATCCATAGTATACTGCTGAGGTTTTGTGATTTTAAAGCATAGATGAGTACGAAAGAGAGAAACAAAATAGAAAATGCATGATTTGAAAAAGTTTCCAGAAGCAAGCAGCCAAGTTTTCAGAGTAAATTAGCTTTCAGTTGGTATTCATGCAAACACTACTGGAAATCCATGGGACAACTTAATAGCCTTTTGGTAACTAATAGCAGAATTTTAAAAAGAGCTATAATATTCATAAGAATAATTCTGCTAACCAGCCCTACTCCAAAGATAACCCCACCCTCCCACCTTATAGAGCACCCCACCCCATTCAGATCCAAACTGTCTAGTTGCGAAAGCAGACAGGCATTTTGAAGCAGTTCGGGCTTACATATTTTAAAGACCTGCTTCTGTCTTTCTTTCTAAGCACCTCACCCCTGTCTTTTACGCTCTGGATTCCCTAAAACTATTTACTTCCAGTAGCAAAGAGTTTGAGCTCCTGCCAGTGTTCAGTTCATTGAGTATTGGTGCATCACTAGGTATGTGACGCTGTGCTCCACTCTCTGGGGTAAAGATGATGAAAAGTCGGTGTAAAAAAATGCCCCTCATTGATAAAACCAAACTAGGAAGCCCTATACTTTTCAGTGTGGGAAATTAACAGGGAATGCAAATCTCCCATTAGGGAAGGATAACTGCCCAAGCAACCTTGGATGTGTGTAGTCCCTAGAATTGTCTCCCATCCAACTACTAACCAGGCCCGACCCTGCTTAGCTTCCAAGATCAGACGAGATCGGGCGCGTTCAGGGTGGTATGGCCATAGACTGTGTAGTCCCTGGAATTGTAACAGACCTGCCTCCCCAAGCACAGGACGACTCCCAACATCCTTGGCTGCAGCCCCATTGTCCCCACCTGGAACTGGAACAACTGCTTAGGCACCTTGCTATCTTTCCTTCCCAGCTCTCCCTACCCACCTCCTGAAGAACATTCCCTAGACTTCCCCGTCTCTTCCTTGAGCCCTTAAAAGACAGGCTTTACGGGGTGCCTGGGGGACTTATGGGACGCCTGGCAGGTGCCTGGGTGACTCAGTTGGTTGAGCTTCTGACTTCGGCTCAAATCATGATCTCATGGTTTGTGGGATAGAGCCCCCGGTCCGGTTTTGTGCTGACAGCGTGGAGCCTGCTTCGGATTCTCTGTCCCCCTCTCTCTCTGTCCCTACCCTGCTTGTGCTCTCTCCCTCTCTAAAATAAACATTTTCCACTATATGTCAAACTAGAATGTGAATTTTAAAAATAATAAAATTTAAAACAAATTAGAAAAATATAAATAAAAATAAACATTTTATTTAAAATTTTTTAATGTTTATTTTTGAGAAAGAGGGTTGGGGGGAGCAGAGAGAGAGGGAGACCCAGAATCTGAAGCAGCCTCCAGGCTCTGAGCTGTCAGTACAGAGTCCAACCCGGGGCTCGAACTCACTAACCTCAAGATCATGACCTGAGCTGAAGTCCAATACTTTAACCAACTGAGCCACCCAGGTGTTCCAATAAATGCTTGAAAAAAATTTTTTTAAAGACAAGCCTCAGCTTCTCAGACTGTCTCACTCCCTCATCTTCCATCCCCCTTCCCACCCGGAAGACTCACTTCTCCCACAGGTGATAGCTGTGCTGTACTGAGTTCTCTCATAATGGAGCTCATTCTTCAGCTGAGAACCGGCCCCAGCTGAGAAGGGAGGGCTACTTTGCATCGCAGACCCCCATTGCTACAGGAAAGCAGTCATGATGTTCATACAACAAGAATTATGTATTTGTAGTGACAGAAGGGCCATGCCTTCTCTCATGCAAGGATGAGGAGCTAACCATCTGGCAGGAGAGACAGAACAGTGCAAGACTAACTCAAGACAGAATGTGAGAGAAGTCCACTCAGTGGCACTGATAAAGTGTCAGGAGGACATAAATGAGGGAGAAACCTTTTTTTCCCATTGTTGAAGGAAAGTTTTAAGAAATGAGAGGCATTTGAACCGGCTCTCAAAGAATGAGGAAGGTTTCCATAGGCAGAGACAGGAAACAAGACTGGCCAAGATTAAAAATTTAACCACACACAGTGGGCAATACAGGCATACCTTGGGTGTAGAAAAAAGTACACTAGGACTTGATTATAAATAGCTGGGTTTGAGCAAACCAGAACTGTGTCATATGGGCTTCTTAATATTTACATATTAACTTTTTATTTTAAACTTGAACAAAAGTCCGTACCCAACTTAACTGTTGAATCCTTTTGCTTTTCAGGCCAGAGAAGGGGAAGTAGCCATTATTGATAAAGTCCTAGACAATCCAGACTTGACATCTAAAGAATTCCAACAATGGAAGCAGATGTACCTCGATCTTTTCTTGGATATCTGTCAAAACACCACCTCAAATGACCCATTAAGTATTTCTTCTGAAGTAGATGTAATCACTTCCTCTCTCGCACACACTCACTCATACATTGAAACTCATGTGTAAGTGTATTCTGCCCTCTGGCCATCTGGTACCTTTTGGTACTTTGAATAAGTATATGAGGTAGTTTTATATCAGTGTGTGGGACACTTGACAAGCTATACTTTAATGTTACCAAACTACATGAAACAAACCATATATGGTCATTATACCACTGTCTTTAATGAGCATTTGTATATTTTATATGCAATTAGTGCTCAGCTTATGTTTACCATGTGCAAAATCAACTGTCTTCAATGACTTAAAATTAACTTTTGCAAACAACTCTGAAGACAGGTGGTCTTCAAGTAGTAAAACCACAAAAAGGCAGTTTTCTATATAAGGTCATCTTTTCTCCCTTTAAGTTAATTTTATATAAACAAGACTTCAAAAGTAAATCACACTTTTTCAGGTGCAGACATCCTTGTGGGTGGGAAAGAATTTAAACCTTTTTTATATTTATTAAAATGTTCTAAGAATTTTCTTAAACATTGCACAAAGTTTAATGCTGTAGTTTTATTTTTGTGAAATGTAGATGTGCATACAAGAGTTAAGCAAAATAGAAGAGCATCAACATAAGAAAAGTTCAGGTATCTAATATTCGTCTTAATAGTCTATTAACTTGTGAAAGCTGGTTAATGGAAGTATTATTCCAAATCTATGGGGACACTTAATGGTGTATCAGGGCAAAGCTTTGTAAGATGTTTTTGTAACTAAGACCAAAATTGAAGATAGAGCTGCTTTATTTTCTTGGTTTAAATCTTCCTTTATTTTTGTAGTGATGAAATGCTGATTGTGTACAGAGGAATTTGAGAGTGGATTTTTTTAAAACACAGCTAATTCACCCAGAAAGGCAGCTAAGATATATATA